TAAAAATCTGGTTTATTCGAAGCGAAATTGGGAATAAGTCTTTAGTTGAAATAGATAAGCAATTTAATATAAGTAAGTCGATTTTGCAGAGACATGTAACAAGATCAATGAAATCTCAAGGTGGACAAAAATGTCTAAGTAATACATAATAAAATATTTAATATTTGTTCAGAGTGGGGGTATTCATCTGTTGTTACTAACCTTATACTCTTTGCTAATTACGATATTTTTACTTGTCAAAATTTAAGTCAGTCGCACAATAAATGTCGTTGCAACCACACACAGTTTTTCTTTACGGATAGTACGCAAACCAAATTGAACCTTAATTACATCATTCATATTGGTCAAATTCGAGCGGATTTTTTTGAACATACAAGCTATCGAAGATGGACGCCGGTCAGTGAAAATATTGTTTTCCAGTAAGCCGTAAACCACATTCCAGTGATTTAAAGACAAATAATTTATACATAATTTATAAATATTACAATTTTATTCCGTTTTCTGGTTGGACGGTACTATGGATGAACTTTTGAACGTTTTAGAAGATACCGCTGCGCTCTTAAACAAAACTCAAATTAATTTGAAGAAATGTCCAAAAGCTAGATTGACAAGAGGTTATGTAGAAGCAAGAATCAAATGTATCGAAGAATATTGGACTACATTTAAGCAAACGCATCTACAATTGGTAAAAATAACACCGAAAGAACAAAGACAAGAGTTACCATATTTTCAAAATGAAGATTACTTCGTGTTCGAAGATTTGTATCTCGTCTTGTTAGCCGATTTAAAAGATCTTTTGCAATCTTTCACACAAGCAGCCGCGCCGAGTACTTTAACGTCCTCACCAAATAATTCTAAGATTATTGCGGATACCGAAAACCTTGTTCGGTTACCGAGAATCGAATTACCTAAATTCACTGGAAACTATGAAGATTGGCCTACGTTTCAAGACCTATTTACCTCCTTAGTGGATAAGAACCCGGCTTTAAGTGACGTACAAAAGTTACATTATCTTAAGAGTACAGTCAGCTTCGAGGCAGAAACATTATTAAAACCTGTTCAAGTCACGGAAAACAATTATAAAAAAGCATGGAATATTTTGAAGTCAAGGTATGGAAATAAACGATTAATAATTAACTCAGTGTTGAAGAAATTATTTAATCAGAAGAAAATTAGTTCTCAGTCTGCAAATCAATAAAAAAAGTTATTAGACGTCACGACAGATTGTTTGAATAATTTAGAAAATTTAAATATACCTACGAGCTCCTGGGATCCTATAATTATATTCCTTGTGATACAAAAGTTAGACCCGGAGTCTCACAAAGAATGGGAGCAGACAGCTTATTCAAAATCAGAGGACGAACTACCAACTTGGGAGAATTTGAAAGATTTCCTGCAGTCAAGATACCGTACCTTAGAACTTGTATTGTCCGTGTCAGGGACTTGTAGCAGCCGTGACAAACCTGTAAGAGAACGTTTACACTTAGTCACTGCCACAGCTACCACGTCACAGCCAAATGAAAGAACTTGGGTGCTCTGTAAAGAAAAACATACATTATGTCATTGTAAGAATTTTACCAAACTGCAACCTAAAGAAAGAGCTGATTATGTCAAGACCAACAATCTGTGTTTTAACTGTTTGGTGCCTGGGCATTCTGCTTACCAGTGTAAGTTACAAATGTCCTGTCGCTTATGTAGAAGACGGCATCACACTCTTCTCCACCGCCATCAAGAATCGGCACAAACTGAGGAAAGGAATCAACCGAGTGCATCTCACCACGGGGTAGAAGAGAAAGAAGAGGTTATAAATAGCATGGTGGCGTCACATCACAGTACTAAGCAAAGCACAGCACTACTAGCCACAGCGATGGTTTTAACGAGGAACGAGCATAACCAAACCGTTGTTCTTCGTGCGCTAGTAGACCAAGGTTCGCAGGGTTCATTTTTAAGCGAGAAGGCGGCTCAAATGCTCAAACTTACCAGGCAATCAGCGAGAGGAAGTATTATCGGGGTGGGATCTACTAGAACTAATGTTGATCACGTGGTTCAACTTAAGATTGGCTCCCGCTGGAATCCAAGCTTCTAAATCAACATACAAGCATATGTTATGAGTAAACAGTTGACCACGAAGATCCCCTCCAAAGCTGTAACTGTCACACATTGGCCACATCTAGAAGGACTCAACCTGGCAGATCCAGACAACTTCCAACCAGGTTCTATAGACTTACTTCTTGGTGTTAAAGAGTATGCACAGATTGTGCAACCAACACTTATTAAGGGCCCTCCAGGTTCTCCATGTGCCCAAGAAACCAACCTGGGGTGGATCCTCTTCGGAGAAATCGATAATAACCGTGAAAATGAATCATTTCTGGTCCTTCATCATCAAATCCATATAGATCATATGTTGAAATACCTCTGGGAAATTGACAATGATAAAAAGAGAATATTAACAAAGGAAGAAAAGCTATGTGAAACAATATATGAAAGCACACATACGAGAAATAAAGGAAGATATCTAGTAAGGCTGCCATTTAATACAAAGAATCCAATTTCGATTGATGGAAATACGAAAGAAATAGCTAGAAAGAGGTTACTTCAGCTAGAAAGAAGATTTAAGAAAGAAACTAAACTGAAAGAAGATTATACAAAGGTCATGAAAGAATACATAAAAACTAACTACATGGAAGAAATACCTAAGAATGAAATAAATGAGAGAAAATCAGTATACTTACCTCATCACGCCGTGGTACATGCAGACAGAGAAACTTCTAAGACACGCGTAGTATTTGATGCTTCAGCGAAGGGCTCCAACTGCGTTTCTCTAAACGATGAATTGCTTGTAGGTCCACAACTGCAAGAAGACTTAAGGAATATACTTATGAGATCGAGATTACATCGTGTTTGCTATGCAAGTGATATACAAAAGATATACCTGCAAATATTACTTTATGAAGAAGACGCCGATCGATATCAACGCCTTTTGTGGAGAGAGAATGATTCAGACCCGATTAAAGAATATCGTATGCTTCGTGTTACATTTGGTACAGCGGCGGCCCCTCACCTAGCTGTAAGAACGCTTCACCAGGTGGCTGACGATGAGGGTCGAAATCATCCAATGGCTGTTCGAATTATTAAAGAAGATTTTTACATGGACGATCTAATGTCGGGGGAGAGCAGTGCTCCTGAAGCCATAAAGAGAGCACAAGAAGTAGATAATATTCTACAGAAAGGTGGATTTGTATTATCAAAATGGTCATCCAATTCTGCTGAATTTTTTAAATCTATCGAATCAAACAAACGTACATCTCGAGCACAGTTGGATTTTAAATTGAATGGAAATGTACAAGCCCTAGGTTTGATCTGGAACCTGGGCACAGATCAGTTTCAGTACAAAGTTAACTTACCAGCAAGGTCAAGCAGTATTACAAAGAGAGGCATACTATCTGATATTCAAAGACTTTTTGACCCACTGGGATGGATCGCCCCTAGCTTAATTTTGGCTAAGATACTCATACAAAGGCTATGGCTAGATTTTACCCTGCATATTCATTGTAAATTCTTCAATCTAATTATGTTTGATTGCAAACACAATTTACGCTAAATGACACTAAATACTACAAGGCCAAATTACACTTACTTAATAGTAGAAAAACAGCTTTACAATAATTACTATTTGTTTTATAATATTATGTGCTAGCGGACCCAACAGACGTTGTCCTGTAAAAATTTAAGTCGATCCAGCCGTTTAGTTGTAGTAGAGAGAAATAATCTAGATACCGACTGCAGCGCCATCTACCGGGCTGATTTGTGAACCTAAACCATCCAGGGTGCCACCCAAACGCATACAAAAAAAATCATTCAAATCGGTCCAGCCGTTTAGGAAGAGTTCAATGACAAACACGCACAAAAGAAAAATATGAATAAAGATGTAGTTTTACTACAGCTTGTTAAACGCGGAAGAAGTTTTGCCTTTCTTTTCAAATAGATGAGTCAAGCTTAACGCGGGCGCAGTCTCGGACTAATATTGTACACATAATCCGGGGGGTATAGCATAGGAATAAAAAATATAATAAAATTAAAAACCTTCAGTTAACGACATTTTCCATAAATTCGAAGTGAGTTTTGTTCATATAGCGTATTCATATATTAAGTACTCAACTGATTATGATGAAATTTGGAATCTACGTTGTGAGTGGTACATACATATATGGAAGCCCATAGGATTCATTTTGACCCGAAAAGAAGTGTTATTCCCGAAAGATCTTTTGTACATTATCGCGAGTGAACGGGTAAAAACTAGTCTTCTACCTAGTCAGGTCATAAATTCTGTCACATGTTTAATGTAAAATAATTGAAACAAGTTTATTCATTATGTAACCATTCATATACCAAAATGAACTTAACAAAACATAGATTCTTATGACACTGCACAAAGTTTATTCAAAATGATCCTCCGCCTCCGTGATTTTGAATACAGGCCTTCAATCTGCGCGGCCAGTCGTCTATCGCAGCACGAACGAGGTCCATGTCAATATCGGCGGCTGCCTTAATCAAGGATGTCTTGAGTGACTCCAAATTGGGATGAGGCTTTGAGCACGCCTTTTCCTCCAAGTGTTGCCATATCTTGTAATCTAACGGATTCAAATCTGGACTGGAGGAGGGCCAGTCTTCGTGCCGGATGAAGTCGATTTCACGCGCCGCCAGCCAGTCTTGTGTGCTCTTCGCTCTATGAGCTGGTGCCGAATCTTGTTGGAATACCCAGTGCCTGTTATTGAACATGGTATGAGAAACAGGTTCCACAAGGTTCGTCAGGACTGTATTTTGATACACAACTGCATTCGTTTTTACACCTTTCTCACAAAAATGTACCTCTGTTAAGCCCCAATAAGAAACTCCCAACCATACCATGAGCGAGGATGGAAAATGACCTCGTTGGACACGCGGAATACGGTTGCTCGCTTCTTCACTACTGTGTGCGTACACCTTATCATTTTGTTTGTTGTGTAGCTCCTACGGTAAAAATATTTCATCCGAAAAAAGAATTTCCCGATATTTTTTTCCCGCGTACCGCTTCAACAAAGCGCGGCATCTCTTCAGTCTCAGGTCCATTAGACGAGCATTCAAACGACGTCCTGTTTTTCTTCGATATGCCCGAAGCCCTAAGTTCATTTAACACCCTTTTCACCGTGGTTCTGCTTAACCCCATCTGAAGGGCCAACAGTTTCTGCTTACGTTTGGGATTTCTTTGAATTCGCGCCTTCACAGCTTTTATCACTGCTGGAGTCCTAACAGACCGAGGGCGACCACTTCTTGACCTGTCATCTACACTAGAGTCTTCGTTGTATCGTTTGCTGGTACGATAAACGAATCTTTTGGTTGTGGTTATATTCAAATTTTTCAGTATGTTAAAAATTTGAATTGGCGCGTAACCGCAACGATGCAACGCAATAACTGCAACACGGTTGTATGATGTAATTTAAGGTTGCAATTTGGTTTGGCGTACTATCCGTAAAAAAAACTGTGTGTGGTTGCAACCGACATTTTATTGTGCGACTGACTTACATTTGGACAAGTAAACCGAAAAATATCGTATTACGCAAACGAGTAATAAAGGTTAAGTAAAACATAACGGCCCACCAAACGGACTACTAAAGTTCTTGTCTAAATCTAATTGCACTAAATAACAAGTCAAATGCGTGACTTCAAAAGCAATATTCTACAGAACGAAATAAAGGTTGGGCTTAAATACTAGAGCATCATAATACAATATGCTTAACCTTGCAGACTTAGTATAATTTTACAGTGACATTGGCTAGCAGATCGTTCAATTAATTAAGATACCTCTTCCCGGTGGATCCGCAAAGAAACATATTGCTTGTTACTTTGTTTTGACTTATTGGATCAAGCAATACTTTGGATCTTGAGAAGTAACATAGCCATGTAACTTGAACCCCATGTATGTCCTTGATATGGGCGTCAGCAACAATGCAAGTGTACTAGGTGTTCTTTGATTTCCAAGAATAAATTGCGGTGGCTTTTCGGTCATCAGGTAATTAGTATGTTTAAGGCGACCGCCCACCCTGAGGATATGCATTTCATCAGGTATGGGTTTAGCGGTATCGTAATCTTTACTATTTTTTTTTTTTTTAACTTGTTTCTTATCTCGTTAGCCGATCTATTTCTTCTTTGAATTCTTGTTGTTCTAACTTAATGCATGTGATAAGCGCTCTTCTAATTCTGTGAGTTATTTCCTTGTCGTACTTAAATTACTTTTGTATGCTTAGAAATCTTTTACAGTAAATAAATAGTTTTCTAAGTAATTCGGTAACGTATGCAAAATCTTCAAAACTGGCGCGTTAAGGGTTTTAGTTCTTCTGCATTGTGGTAAGTATTTAATTTTATGGTTGTTTCAATTTCTCAATTCTGTTTCTGTTATCTCCTGGCTTACTGTATATTACTTATCTTTTTTGCATAACCACTTGGCCCTGTCCCACCACAACTCTTTCTGTTTCAAGTCGCAGGCATTGAGCCTTAGCGCGACCCGATGTCTGGCAGGCCATCTTCTCTTCCGAGAGCTACATGGAACCATCGAATGTGTGTTTACATTGATCCTCTTACATTTTACACCACGGTTCGCCACAATGTCTTCCATCTATGCAGAGGACACCAGATAGCCAATGCTAGAAAGACAATTCTGATGAATTGTCCATGCATGAGATGATTAGAAGTCAGGTTAACACGCATTGCATTTTCTATTTTGCTTACAGTAATACGCTTGCTAATTAACAGCGCCCAACATAACTCAGGCGTGGTAAAGCGAACACGGTCGGAGGTGTGGTTGCCCGACTTCTAGTAACGCGGCAGCCTAATAGATTGGTGAAATATCTGGAAACCACTGCCTTCCCCTCACATCATTCAGACCGAAGCTACTCACCGCGGCCATACTTCATGGAAGCATCGCTGAAACCATGAACCTCGATGTTTTCCATCTGTGTGCTTACTGTGTTTAGCCATCTTGGAATACCTATCTCTTTTACATGTTCAAAGTCTTCTCTAATTGTCAGCCAATCGTGTAACAGCGATTGGTTAATCTCGTCATCCCAGCCAATCGGT